TAAAATCAAGTGTCTTATTCTGCTTATACTCAATCAAACCGAGTCTGCTATCTTTTGTAATTTTGTTGTGAGGGATCACTTTGTTTCCAGATTTTTATACTTCACAACAGCAGGTGTCAAGTGCTGTGTAGCAGCTGTAAAAAGTTGCCTCGTACTTCACTTCAGTGTTGTTATATTTTTTCTGGTCCTTCGGGATCATTGATGCCAGCACTATTAAGTGTTGAGAATTGAGTACCGCTTAAGCCGGTGCTAGAGGGCGTGAGGGATGTTGCACGAATTCATTATCCCTCATGTACAGACTCAATCAAACCGAGTCTGCAATTCTCTTGTAATTTTGTTGTGATTAATGCTTCCGAGGGATCACTTTGTTTTCCAGATTTTTATACTTCACAACAGCAGGTGTCAAGTGCTGTGTGGCAGATGTAAAAAGTTGTCCCATACTTAACTTCCGTGTTGTTATATTTTTCTGGTCTTTCGGGATCATTGATGCCAGCACTATTAAGTGTTGAGAATTGAGTACCGCTCAAGCATGTGCTAGGGGGCGTGAGGGATGTTGCACGTATTCATTATCCCTCATGTACAGACTCAATCAAACCGATTCTGCAATTCTCTTGTAATTTTGTTGCGATTAATGCTTCCGAGGGATCACTTTGTTTCCAAATGTTTATTTGAAGAGAAAAAAAATCATAGTTTTAATAATTTTTATCTTTAGGCTGGTTTACAAAAAAACCGTCTTGTCCTTGCTTTGGAACCAGAAGCAGTGTATGTATTTTGTAAGCGTTTCCCTATCGCCCTATCGAGCGTTTTGGCCTGTTGAAATCAAATGATATGGAAGCCTTCCTAACGTTTCTTGATAAAATTGTTTGTAAGCAGTTTCTAGAAGAGTTTAGAGAGGAAAATACAGCTGACTTCTTTAAAAAGATGAGAGAATTTGAAGCAAAGAAAAGAACGGTGTCTTCGAAAGCAGACGGAATGGTGACAATGAGAATTGCAGCTTCTTTTTCCTCGCACTTCAAAACTGAAAAAAAGAAGGATTTGCAACAATACGTTTAAGAATCTGAATATGTTGACCGTGTCTTCTTCAAGCAAGATAAGGTTACGTTCAAATCAGTGCTGAACTTTTCAAACGGTTTTTCAAGGATTCCATTTTAAATACAGTGTGTCACGCCAAGGAAGTCCTTGAAGAAAACGACTATCGAGGAATTAAAACAAATTTTCTTGTTGGGGGATTCGCTGAATCAGAAATTGTTCAAGATGAGATACGAGCAGCGTTTTCAGACAAACGTGTTAAAATAAATCTGGTCTTGTTGTTTTGAATGGTGCTGTTCTCTTTAGGCACAACCCAAATGTAGTGAAATCTCGTATCAGCAAATAGATCTACGGTGTTGAGGTCTATGCTCCCTTTAATGAAGATTTGCATCCTGAAGAATATAAGGTTTTCGACGGAATTTGCAAATGTCGGTATTTGTTTGATCCATTAGTTCGTGCTTGACACGTTGTTCCGGTTGATGAAATGATACGGAATAGTTATACGTCAAAAATTATTGACGTCCAAGAAGGCGTTGGTATATTCGCATCAACCAAAGAATGTCCAGCATATGTCGTTGAATGAAACTGCTTTAAACTTGGCAATTTTTACTTTGATGAGCCTGATCATGAAGTTATTGTAGAGATGCAGTTTGAAGGGACACAGTTCTCGGTGCAGTTTACAGACCTAAACACGGTGGTGGAAAAAATGACTGCTTTGATTTTCTGTGTCATTAACATTCTAAATGGCATAACGTTGTAAATTATCACTTATGAAGTTATGTCAACTTTATGATATCGATGAAAGTATTTAAGATGACAGTTTATAGAGGTATGAATCGACTATTTTGTTACTTGAAGGATTCAATGAATAAATATGTAGCCAGTATGAGGGAGTGTGAAAGACTCCTGATTAGATGTATTCGGATAAATGAGAATGGCAACTGTTTTAAGACATTTATATTTTGTTTTCTTTAGTTTAACATTTTTCAAAATAATGTTTATATTCATATTGAAATTAATCTTTTTAAGTGACTGTATCACTTGAAATACATTAAATATCAACGAATCGGCAAAACTATATGGAATTTGACATCACTTTTAAATTCATATAATTAGTATACACACTAATATGAAGAGAGAATTTTTAATAGCATTTTTTACATATGTGTTATCTTCCGGTTTAATTTGAACCTAAACCATAGATAGAAGGCCCGAGTTTAATTAAGTCAGGAACAAGTTAATCAATGTACATGATTACACGCCTTTTGTTGTATGCCAAAAATGTAATCAAACTGACCAGTTCTTCAAGAAAGTGTTAAAAACTCAAGACAAGCTCAAGTATTGTTTTCTAATGTGTGAATATCATTATTATTATAATTGCATTTATCTAACTTTGCATGTATCATGTCATTTGCAGCTAATTATACACTTTCAAAAAATGGCATTATTACTTAAATGATCGATGCCTTTATAAAATTACATCGTTGTGATATTACATATCTTCTAATGGCTTACGTTGCAAAAGCACTGCACAGGGAAGATCTACTTTGGAACTATAAAGTTCGGTATATAACATCCCTCAACACTATAATGATTTAAATCAATAATCCCAGGAGATTTGAAAAATTTATGAGATAAAGTACATGGCAACTTTTTGCTGTTGTCCCAGAACACTTAATAGAATTTTAAAAGAAGAGATCGCTCGGGAGTAAACAAAGAATAAATTCGGTCTGTTTATGAGAGATAACGTAAAGTGCAATATCTGTAATGCTCAAGTATGCAATCCTAAATAATAATAATATTGGAGTCGATTTGTCCTAAGGACCGGAGAAATATAACACCACTGTTTTAGGAACGGGTTTACAGTTTACTGTATCCAAAGGTTTACAAACTCTTCAAAAGGGATATCTCTCAAGAGCAATGAAAACAAAAGCAAATAGCTAAAAGTATAGACATTTATTTGAAAAATATTTCTATGTAAATGGCATTACCCTCATTATAAATGTATACATCGGTTTCCTTATACACATAAGTATCTGTACATTATATGTTTAAAATTGAAATTACGAGTTAAATATTATTCAAGATCTTAAACTATATTTATATACTATATGTATTTTTTCTACAAATTAGCAATTAGATTGTTGTCACCAATTTCAATATATGTAATAATAATATATTATAATTCAAAATCAGTATAGTGTACTTAATCGCTGATACAAAGATTGTGCCATAAATTGAACTTTACTTTAATTACCAGGAATGAAGAACAACGACTGATTGTTTAAGAAATTTACTATGTTTTATAATTGCTTTCCAGAGACATAATCGGATATGTATTACATTAATTTAAAAACGAGTTGGCATGTTTAAAATAATTCAATGAAAATGTATTTTACACAAATGCCATTTATCCTGTCTTATCGTTTACGTCGTTACAGTCATTAAATTGCGTAAACTTTGCGTTTAGTGAACAATATAAATGATTTATGAATAAGAAATGGATCGTATCGTTGAAAGGCTGTGAATATTAAGCACTGTATCATTCTGTGTATCGTTTAAAGGTCCATAATGATTATGTCTCAGTAATGCTATCATTTTTAGTTCGCAAATAAGAAATTATTGTTATGTTGGTAATTTGTAAACTTATAGTAAATCAGTATTTTGTTTAGAAGTCTTGACACTTTTTAACATTTTGCTATCTAAACAACACATTACTTCATGTTCAGCGCCATTTCTTCAGTTGTTATAGACATTCAACATGAACTTAATCCATTATCAAAACATAATTAAACGCATGTTTGACATTTCTAAAGAATTTTTAAAAATATAAATTTTTGAGGCATATGTTGCCTTTAGTTTAATATATCGGGAAAAAGCAACACGATATACGCATATGTGTTGATGTTTTGAAACATGAGTAGATCAATAGTTCAAAGCTTTTGTAAATACTCAATATCGGCTTTCCAAACATAAAAGTAAATATAAACATGATAATGTAACATGTACAACAGAAGTCGTAATGTTATTTAGTAAAAGCGGATGTTTCCAAGGGCATCCTTTATCGATGTGTTTTCATCATAGCTGAAATAACATCTTGGTGAGTGTACTCAACAAATTACTACACTTATATATATATATTCATGATATTTTCCTTGTATGCAAAGTTTAAATAAGTAAATAATTATTTGTTAAAAAACATGTTATTTTGATTTTTGAAATGGGAAAAAAACAAAATCAGTTAATTGACCTATGTAAGGTTGTAAGGTACTTTAGTTCGGATTGGTTAACTGAAATTCAAAATAAAAAAAAACTTAAATCAAATATTTATGTAAACACAATTTTGTTTCATGCTCAATTGAAAGTAAATGGTGACATTTGAAAGTATACCAGGTTTTATATTGTAGAAAATGAAATATTTCAGAAAGTCATTTCAATTGTTAACATCTAAGATTAATTTTAACGGACCAGTCTCACTATTAAGGAGCAAAACTTAAAATGTCATATTGTAATTAAGAATGTTGCTTAGAGATGTTCTTAGTACAATTAGTATTATTTAGTATAAAGTTATTCTTTTATGAAATAACCTTACAATTTGCCAATATTAATGTTCCTAACAAAAGTCTATATACAATACAATACAATACAAATACTTAAAAAGATAATCAACATGACCACATTCTCTTTAGAAAGGAAAATATCAAAATAGTTACAATATACACATACAATATGCATGTAGTTGAAACGGCATATAAACATATAAATGTATTTGAATCATTAAATCAATAAACTTGCATTATGAAATTTACTTAACAAAATTTTGTCATAAATATTGAAAAACGCAATAGCATATAGTATTAATAAGTAGCAAATATAAAAATCAAATAGAATAGAATAGTAAAAATGTTGAAACCATGCATACAATTTCTTGTAAAACGGTTAAATCTATTGTATATATGCACGTGAACGTAACAATGACGGTAACATTGTTGCAATCACCAAAAGAAGACGGGTATGCAATTTTTGTATAAATATTACATAACTATTATCCTCTCTAATATTACACACGGAAAGAACCTAATTTAGTCTAGTTAATATCATTATTTACACAATTATTGGAATAAACACAATTATTCTATTGTACAACATAATTGTTTCAATTGTCTCTCCTTAGTTTATTCAGCAGTCTTGCTTATTTTGTCGGGAGAATCATTCTGAACGGTTGCATCGTTTGCAAGCAGAGCCTTCACAGATGTGTGAGAATCAAGCAGCAGTACCAAAGCGTCGTGGAGGAATCTGTATTGTTCCTGTGAACGTTACATTTTGTAATAACAAAATTTGACAATATCAAACAAAACCAACACACCGGTTAACTTCCTTAAATTCGAGTTTAATCAAAATTATAATTATGACAAGGGCACCGCAAAGGTTGGGCAATGTTGACTTGAATGTAAGTTTGTGTGATTAATCAAAAATGATCTTTCAATTAGGAAGATATTCAAATAAGATACTTGTCTTGATAATAATAATTCATTTTAAAAAGCCTCCCGTGGTGGCGCAGTTATCTAAGCCCTTGACATTGAATTTTTGCATGATTATACTAGTACTCAAATTGGTTTTTACCATATTTATATGTATAAAATGTGTGACGCCCCGTGGATTGGCCAGTTTTGACCCAAGTTTATAATTTATAACATTTTTGAAGAGGTAACAAGGAAATGATATATAACATATTTATACTCTAGACATTGTAGTTTCACAAAATAAGACTGAATGTGTTTTTCTCATACAAGACTTTATCAAGTGAATCCAGGGGCGGGGTCAATATTGACCCATGGGGCATGACTAACACCAGTTTTGCGTAGGCCTAAAAGGGAATGCTACATGTCAAATATCTAGCCTCTAAGCAATGTGATTACATAAAAAACGTCTTAAATGAGCTTTCCTATAGTAATTTTTATTAACTTCATGAACTTGATTTCTTATTTTCTCTATTTAATGACATCGAAGCGGAGCCAATATTGACCCAAGAGCATGATTTATACCAGTTATGTTGTAGACCAAAAAGTGATGTTACATGCAAAATATCTAAGTTCTTGGATTACAGTTTCGCACAGTAAGTCACAGTTGTCTTTTCTCTTTATAGGTTTTTATATATCAAGAGACCAATGAGGCGAGGCTATATTAATCTAAGACACATGAATCATATCCATTTTTAAAGTAAAAAAGGCAATGATACATGCATAATATCTAATGGGACCAATTTTTTGTCATGGGAAGCTCAAACCTGTGTTCTGCACATATTTTTATTATTATGATATTAAGTAATAGTTCTGCAAAAAAGTTTTAATTTCTACCGATCGGATCAAATATAAAAGGGCGCACACGAAATGTTGAAATTTATACAAAATCACTTAATGTGACCTTGACCTCTACCTGAGGAGGTGCAAACCTGGATCGCATATAATCTCATTGATGTTAATATTTCTGCCATGTCGTTTCAATTTCCTTTCAGCGGTTCAAAAGATACAGACCGCTAACGAAATTGCTAACAGACGGCCGGACCGAAGGTCGGCCAGATGCATAAGATATGGGCCGAAATTGTTTTTGGGCGTATAATAATATTAATTATAATATAAAAGATTTTACACTATATAAAATATAATTAAAGATATTCAGCGTTTGAACCATGTTTTTTTTTCGAAAAGAATTCATTATCAGTTCCTATCATATCGGTATCAATTTTGCCTCGTTCCCATCTCAAGTGTCCGAAATATCCATTTCAAATGCATATCATTCCTTGTATAACCTGGCATGTTTTCATTTTCAAAGTCGAAAACAATTACATCAAATGCAAATCATACTCCATCTAGTCTTATTTCCATTTTCAGGGTATACAAATGTATTGAACATGAAGCAAATAAGTTCTGCCGAAATGTCAAAAATTGTGCATTTAAGATTCATTATTAATTGTCCCTTCACCAGACTCGATTAGCGTCTCGTAAAATAGGTTTGAAAACTGTGTACTCGTCCAAAAAATCTTGTACATTTCACTGACCTGGTGTTTTGATGTGTTGTTCCCCCCTCCCAATCTTTTAATTTATTGTTTATTTCAATAAGTTGTTTAATTGCAGGTTAAACTAGTTCGGTTGTAATAATTTGTAAGATATTAAATGAATTGATGAAGATAGTTGATTGTCTACAGGAGAATTAATCTTCGACATTTGACAAAAGACTGCTAACTGTATATATTACCGGTACTTAAACTTTTGAACCTGTCGCTTACAAAATTGATCTTTGTTTATAGGAATTTAAAATCAATTTTTGAAAGATAGGTACATGTTTAACAGCGAAGATGATGACCTACCACTGTTTGTACTAAACTAACTCGATCCTCTCTAAGATTTCTGACACATGCAAATATATCCACTGTTCTCTCGGAAACTCCCTCATTCGCTAGTATGTCCAATGCAATAAATGTACCTGTTCGTCCAACCCCTGCACTGTAAAATATGTTTAATATTTCTGTTATTTACGAAGTAAAGACAAATGGTAAATATAAGTCGAAATTCGGATAAAAGTATTTGTTGATGCTTTCGCTAAAATATTTCTAGTTAATTGATCATCTTTATATAGTATAGATGCCGCAATTGTCATTATCTGTCACAAACAAACACAATCAAAACCATTTGTTTTATCTTCTCTACCTTGTGATCTGTCTTGTAACTTACAACAATTTTTTATGTGTTATGTGGTAGCTCAAAATATGGCTACGCACTTCATCTAAGTGTTGTTTTATTGCTTGGTCCTTCGATATTTTGTGATTATTCATAACATGTATATCATAGATCATGCGGGTGTTTCGGGTGTAGGAATAGTTGCGCTTTTCATTTTCTCTTTGTTTTGTATTGCTGTAAAAAGATATTCATTGTTCAAGAGATTTTGTTAAAGATTTGCTACGAACAATTTTATTGTTACCTGCAGTGTACTATTATGGGCCCTAGCTCAAACGTAGGTATTCGTGTGACTTTCTCCCAAAACTCTACAATGGTATGTGCATCTTTAGGTGTACTTTTGTCTGGCCATGCAGTAAAGTGCATTTGATAAAGTATTCTCTTTTCAAATTTCTGTAACAGATAACTTATTTCTTTAAAGCTGAATTATTTCTAAAATGACGATCATTTATCTTCTCAATTTGTTTGCTTTTCTTTTTACTAGTGTGTTATTTTTATTACTGGAAACAATCTATTATAGATATAAATAGTAAGGGCGCTAAAGTTCAATGCAATATCTAGTAGTGATATTTTATTAATCGATTACTTGCACTAGGTCGAGATGGCTCTGGATTTTTATTTATTAGTTTTAACAGTTCCGCTATTCATCTCCTCTTATTCCCGCCCGCTCCCCCCCCCCAAAAAGAGCCAAAAAAGAGCCATAAAACTTATGACCACAGAGCGGGTTTAGCGCCAAATTTTGTATTCGACTACTTGTTATCGGGAACTGTTTGGATATAAGTTTACACAGGTTCCTTCGTACAATTAACCCCGATAAAAATGGAGAAACAAATAAATGTACTGCCTAATAGGATGGGGCCAACAATTTCTGTCAAGTATAGACATTGCCTTATCCTCTAAGCAACAATTACCGAAGTGTTTAATTGTAAACGAAAATGTTCAATAGAAATGTAATTCCGACGTTGTTTCAAAAATAAAAATGAGCGCAATCAAGTATGCATACTTGGCATGTCAGAAAGGGATTGAATTACAAGAAATAAATATTCATTTGCTCATTGCCATTTTCTCATTTTATTTCATTTGTTTATTTATTCATGTTTTTGATTTTGTTTAACAAATAACGCAGCTACATAGTTGTACATAATTAAAACAAATGTTGAACAACTTTTCTCTTACCTCGATGGAGAATATTCTGACAGTAAAACAGGGATAGATTTCCTCGGATTTACCCGTAACTTTTACATCTCCATAAGTGCAACACACGTCTTTATCTGGCCAGTACTTGTCACATTTTTTCACCTAAATTTTACATAATAATCAAGTTTCTTATAATAATCATGTGTGAAAAATATTGCACCAGTTCCTTCTGATAATTAAATTATCAAACAATGATAAATATTAATTGACAAAAAATAATTGGCCAGCACTATGACCATCAAGATTGTGCACTCTTTGGAAGAAAACTGTTTTAATGAGAGAAAATCATGTGACACATGGTTTGCATTTATACATCTCCGTACAAAAACCTGTTTACAAGGTAGATTTGATACGATAACTTATGTTTAAGATAGTTTCGAATACACTTCAACACATAAGAAAAATATTGTAACTTACACCTAGCTCTGTCAGATTGGTCAGCATTACTATTTTACAAACTCTTTCTTGCCAGACCATGTTCCAGAACACTCCAAAATCATCCCCCATTTGTTTAATTGTTGGTCCTTTATATATACATAATGATAATAATATAATTAGCGATTTTATTTTTGTCGTAACTATATATTATACATTAATATGCTATATTGTTTTGATGTTGTATACATTATGTAATGCGATTATTTTATGTGATGCAACGATTCAAATTTAAAACTACAAAAACAAACAACACTTTTACCATCAGTACATTTTAACAGTAAATTAAATACATTATTCACAAGACAATTTTTTTTTCTTATATAACAGATAGAGGTAAAATTTGATGACAAACACTTGCACATTACATACATACCTAGAGATGCTATATAAGCCTTTTGTCGTTTATAACCCTAGAATTTAAATATGTTTAGATATAATATCATGATTAAAGAATGGCACTTTTCCAAGTTTTGAAATAAAAAGTAATCAATCATGGCAAATATGAAGTGTAGATATTGGTTCTATTAAAATATCCCTGCTCATTAAAAGCAGTGATAAACAAATTTCATCATTTAGATACTTATATATTATTTGAACTGTAAATCATGTAAGTCGTCATCTTCAAATGAATGCTAATGTACTTGTTTTGAAGGTTTAGACAGGTTACAGGCCCAATTTAAACGTTGGTCATTTTGCTCAAACAGATTTACAAATTTGCAGCAACCGCTTTTACAAAAGAAATGACGTATAGACGTTATGACACGTCGAGTACGTCAAGTAAAATCATGAAGTTTAAAGAGATGTTTTATGAATACTATAGTGTTTGATTAAATAAATAGATAATTAGATAAGTATATGTTTTACGAGGAAGATATGAGAATATTTCATGAGTAATTACTGTTTTGTTAAACAATAGTTTTATCATATTTTGTCGCATTAAGTATGTACATAATGAGAACATTTAATACGAAACTAAGCACAACAGATACGGAAAACATGACGTATGTTAATAGTTTGATGTTTGAAGCAAATTATTACCAGTATGATTGAAGGACCTTCTTGGGCATATGTTCCCGTAAAAGGTGCAAACGAATTATTTACCTAATTATTTTTAAGACTATAAGTTATGCTTATTATAAAAATAAATCGTCTTCACTCGAAAATTTGAAGTAATCACAATAGAGAGGTTGAGTGATAAGTTAACATAAAAATCTGAAGTCCAAACAGAATGTCATATTGAATTGTTTAAAAACATGACTCACGTCTATATAGCTAGCATTAATGAAGTCTGATTCCATGTCTTTCACAATAACTCTTCTGCTGTCATCTATACAGGTGATCGCACAAAACATATTTTACATTGAATTTTTGAATAATATAACAAAAACATAGAAATTAGTCTACATCGATGTAAATTCAGTTGACAAAATGTTAAATTCAGCCATTTGAAAAAAAGTTAATACTGAACATGAACTGAACCAAATGACAAAAAACAACAACAAAGAAACGGAAAACCCCGTTTATCCTGGAAAAGAATACAGTTATGATTTATTGATTTAAAAAATAACTAGTTTAAGTAAATTTAGGTACATGAGTATTTTTGTTTTATATACATTTATTAAATCATTATTTCATAAACAAATATCGTAACAAGATCGTAATGGAAATCAGCAACCATATTAAAAATCAATATATCATCAGAGAGTAAACTATGGCATTTGATGGATAATACAAACGGCGTTTTAATATCGTACATGTTACCCGATCAACTAGTACTAAATCGTATGCAATTTGAAAAGATAATGTCATTTGTTAGTTTCTTTCAAGAAAGCATGCAAATTTTGTAATGACTTACATGGATAAACACCTTTATAACGATTTTTCCTAATATTTTCTGTCTTCTGTGACTCATTAAAAGGTTTAATGAGACCTGGTGGTAAGTCCTTGATAAAATAAAAACAGCTTTTTACAGAAGTGCATAATAACCTGTACTATAGTTTGTTCTTCAAATTTAAATTGACATACTGTACGGTATTTAAAAAGAAATAAGATAGCTTTATATATAATAAAAGAAAGCCTGACAAAACATTTTCATTCAAAGTATAATTTCAAAAACAAGCAAGAAATAAATACCAAAGACAAACAGTGTTTTCTTTATTGAATTATATTTTGTCCATTTTGAATCCCATCAAGACTTAATAATCCACAGCCTTACTTTAAAATTGTAGCTTATTGATCAAAATTATTCAAGGAAATAATAAATATCTTTGAATGTTACCATAAATTCCTCAATGTATTCAAGGTCTGTTTTGTTTTTTACGAAATCTCTGAGTTTATCAACTGACACTCTACGTTTGAAGAACTCTTCCGTGTTGGCGTATAGAAAGGCATCAACCTGATTGGTAATATTAGATTACATTCAAATAGAAATTGAAGTTTAGATTAATGGTTAATATAACAGGCAAACTACCAAAAAATCAAATTAAATAAATATGTTCTTTCATGATATAAATTATTTTGTAAATTTCTAAGCCTCACGTGGAAGAATGGCCTAGTCAAACTTTGTTGCCTGATTAAACACAACCGTTACTCAATCACTCACTCAGTCACTCAGTTTCTTACTTACGTACTTATGTAGGTTATTTTTATACACCATTGCACTTAATTATAGCAAAGTAAATTTAAAAAATGATTTGCAAGTTTATTTGAGTAGAATCAGGGGAAAAAGAATTAATAATTATCTTCAGGCAAGAAAAATGAATCTGAAAGAAAACTCGCATATATAAACATACCAATTTATTGTCATCTGTAGGTTGAATTTCATCCACATTGTCTTCAGTGATGTTTTGAAATTGTTTTCGTTCAATACTTGCATATTCGTTTACGTTTACATAAAATAAATTTAAATTTTCCTGTCCGGTTGGTTCAACACTACCGACTATGACAGCTGGATTAATATTTTCAACTCGTTCTCCATTTTGCTGATTTCTCTCATCGTCTAAAAGGCAAAATTATTGGATAAATTTTCAGAAAATGGGCGAAAATTATACAATCTTACTGAATGAGAATGACATCGAAATGTTTTGCAAAAAAAAATGTTGCAAATGAATAAAATATAATTTAAAATAGAAAACTTGAAACTCGCCATGTAATAGAACATATGGGTGGAATATTGCTTACTTTACTATTACAACAGCCTAACTGTATTTATATCACATATATGACATAAAGTATTTTAAAAAATCACAAATCAATGTAATACTCTTTGTATTTCTCTTTTACTGCTTAGTTTATATACGAGAGGTGATCCATATTTATGTGAAAACTTTTGAAACCAATATTTATGCACGTTTTCACGAGCTTTTCCGTGCAAATTGTTTTAACATGTATATTAACCGTGTTATCTATGATACATATTGGTTTTGTTACATAATTCAAAATGACAAGACGTAGAATTAGTGATTAGGTTGAAGGCATCGTGTTAGGCCTTTTGAGGCAAAAAATGTCGCACAGAAAAAAAGTAAAAGAACAAAAAGAAATGGGACATATAGTTTCCATAGGGGTGATTAATCGTATTCAACATTCCAAAGGTTTTATTCGAAGTAACATTTGCAATAACGTACGAATTAGCCCTTTAAAAAAACAACGTAATGCTGGTACAGATGACGTCATCCGAAATATACGCAATATGATACGATCGGTGAATCCACCAATCCAAAGACAGATGGCAAACAAATTAGGGGTATCTCATTCAACAGTAAATCGTATCCCTTCTAAAATAATTCTTATGAAACTCAGAAAACAATGCAGGGTTCATAAGCTTAATGAGAAGCAAATTCAGAAAAGACGTACTCGTTTTGGCGTCTGTATCTCCGCTTAAATAGTGGAGAATGGAAAATGTTTGTCAGTACGGACGAGCTGTGTCTATTCTAGCAGGGGGGGATGGAGGGATTTACCCATATTTTTGAGAATTCCCCCACTATTTTTTCAGAGGAAGGGGGAAATGTTTACATAGAGAAAGAAGGAAAAAAGATCAACTAATGAAATCAATTCTCACTTTTCGATAAAAATCCCCCGTTTTTCGAATCCTAGAATAAACACTGGACGAGGCAATTTTTTACATGGGTGGTAGCTGTGGTCGTAGGCGTGTTTGCTATGTAAGAGAAAACGAGATAGACAAACCAAAACTTAAATTTGTTAAGCGGGATTCGTTTGCACCACGGTTTATGGTTTGGGCAGGGGTTAGCTTCTACGGCAAGACGTCCTTAAAAATTATAAATAAAGGTGCTAAAGTTAATACAGACTACTATGTAAAAATGTGTTAGAGCCATTTATGAAAAATGACGTTCCACGTTTGTTTCCTGATCGTGAAAAGGAAATGGTTTTGTTTATCAGGAAAGTGCTTCGAGCCATACTGCTGCCCAGACGAAAGGGTTTTCAAAGAACGTAAGGTCAAGTACGTAACCCCAGAGGAATGGATGCACAAGGGCCCTGATGCAGCACCCATGGACTTTGAAATGTGGGGCATCCTAACACGCCGTTTACAAAAGCGAAAAATATTCACTTTGAGTGGACTTAAAAAGGCGTTGAAGCAGGAGTGGTAGAATCTGGAGCAATCTACCATTAATAAGACTTGCAAGCTGGCCAAGGCGATGTAGAATTATCTCTTATGCACATGGTTCACAAATTGAACATTTGTTGCAATGAAATCAAAAAAGTGGTCACATAAATATGAATCACCTCTCGTATAATCATGCTTTGTCAACTAGTTATGGATTTCTTCTCTACTATATCAAGATGTATCTGGTGTTTAGTCAACACCATTTGAAATGTAGTAAATTTATTTATTTTTTTTTTAATAATTTTTATTACATATAACGCAATTTCTTTTTTGTGATACTTCTTATTTGATGTTATAAGATAATTATATAAAATTGCACTTAATCTTATTATAATATGATTGTTTCAAACTATTGTATGAAATTAAAATTTTAAAATGACCCTATTGAAAAATACTGAATGACCCTAAAAGGCTTAAAATTATAATTATTTCAAAGTTAATAAATTTTCGTAAAACACGATTTTGTTTTCGTATCATTTTCCTTATCTATGACAAATTTTATTTCTTTCCGGAGAAAATCATACTTTATCATGTCTATATGATACACAACTACATTTGTTATATAGTGAATAAAATAATCACACGGACAAGAGATCTTACACATAAGATCATGCTAAAAAACGGTAAACGACTTATTCAGATCAAACATCAGTTAGTCACATTTTAAATAGGTTGAGTAATATTGTACTCTAAATGTAAGTGAAATCACTGGCCGATATATCAAAATATATCTTCAACATACGTCCAAATATATTTTTGTCTAACAAAATATTCAATACTTACAACAAAACTTTTCTTGGCATCAATAAACAAAAATTAATCAGCGCGAAGCGAGTAAAAAAAACGAGAACAACAAATGTTTACAATACCTTTACAAGACAGTATTTCTTCAGAATTTCTGACTCCTAAATAAGTAACTGATTCCCTTAAACCTTCTTCTACTGCACAGCGGTTTTGTTTATTTCTAAGACTGAAAATTTCGAAATTAACAAAACAAATGCAGAGGCCACTAGTATTTCATACAGTCTTCAAGAGAAATTCAAATATAACATTAACACAAAAATATTCTAGTTAAAGCCTACACTATGTCAAAAATATAAGTCCATAAATTGTTCCAGTAAATGTTAGATAGAATAAAGACATATCTTGATTGACTCTAAATTAGATATGAAGAAAAGTAGTATTGACGTCCAGACTATTTATTTTGAGCAATTGTTAAAAATGTGAACAGAGAGAATAAGAATCCAATAAGAACGTCCTAAACGACAAAACTGAAAATGTTGCAGGCTCTGTTTGATTGAGCTCGTATATGTACACTTGGCCTTCATCGCTGTTGGTTCGAATCCCATCAAGGACTGTGTATTCTTGTGATAAAGCACCCAGCTAACTAATGAAATTGCGGTGTTTCTACTCATCTATACGTTCTCGACTGGAAAAAATGCATGAATGGGCATCTAAAGTCTTGCTTAACAAAAAAAGCTGGATAGTCAAGCAAGACCATTACCGTGGATATTTGACTTAAAATCCAACAAAACGAACAAACAAAAACATATTTGCTGTTTTGATAGAAATGAAGACACTTCATACATTTACCTCATAACGGTATGTACTGAACGTGCAGTTTTATAATAATGGCAAACCATTTCACAAGTTGGGTATGATTTCTTGCTAACACTAGTATTAATTTTAATGACAAATACTTGTACCTTTGTACAGTTGATATGACTGTTATGATAATTACAATGACAAGACAAACAAGCGATACAATCAAAAGAACTGAACCAAATCGCTGATGTGAGCTTGAAGACATTACGTCCACTTTATCTGTTAAACAAACAAGATTAGTGCTTAAATATATAAACTTATACTATCTTATTGAATATAATAGTGCCATAAATGTTCTATGAACTCAAAAAATGCATCAAAATACCTCAAAAGAAAAAAAAAACATTTAACGATTATATTGATGTATATGTGTATTTCTAAATTAAAGTACCAAATTATTTCGATTGCTTAGCTGAATATATATTATTCAATATACTACATTTATAAGAATGTTTAACATAAATTGAAGAATTTAATCTTACCAATATAGCATGAGCCGTTGTCTTTTTCACATGCAAAGTTTTGGCATTCACTGCTGCACTGTTTGTTGCATGTATCCCCGTAGTATCCCAGCTCGCATCCCAAAGTACATCTATCCGTTTTCGAATCGCATTGTCTATCAATGCATGTATTGCTACAATTCTTGTCAAACGAGTGGTCATATTCATGGTAACTTTCATTGGAACTGTGACTACAAGCTCCATTTTCGATATTACATGTGCGGTTTGAGCAAAGCTTGGGACATTGCTTATTACAAAACTTTCCCCAATAACCTTGTTTGCATCCAAAGATACAAACACCACTCTCGGCATTACATGAGATATTTTGACAACGAATAGAACAGTCCAAACAATTGCCATCTGAGAGATAGCTTCCATCCTTACATTTCTTGCAGTTAGTTTTCGATAAACACGAGAGACATTTATCAGGGCAATCTTTTTCACAGTTCTTTCCCCATTTGCCGTCTACACACTCCAAGCAAGGCCGTTTAAAAAACGGTTTACATTGTAAGCAATTTCCTGTAAATCTGCTACATTCAAGACATCCATACGAACAGTTACATTTTATCCCGAAGTGACTAGATTGACACACAAGACAACCGCCATCTGAATCACACGTTGAACACCCATTTGGACAGTCACGGTCACAGTGTTGTCCATGTTTTTGTGGCGTACAAATACTGCAATTGTTTCCGACATAATTTTCGTTGCAAACACAATTGCCAGTGTTTTGTTCACACACGTTGTCTTTACATCCAAAAGAACACCTTTGATCACATGTTTTTCCGAAAAATCCTTGTTTACATTTTGTGCATTCATTTATTATCAAACAAGAAGCGCATTTATCTTGGCACTGGGCACACAAATTACTGGATTCAAAAAAACCCTCTGGACACTTTTGGCAAGAAGTACCGTTTAATATAAATCCATCATTACATGTAATGCAATTATATTTGGATGTACACGTTTTACATGACGACGTACATTTAGTGCATTCATCACCGCTTCTGAAATAACCAGTATTGCATGATAAACATGTATTTAACGTTAAACAATGTGAGCAACCAGTGGAGCATGGGGCACATGAGAATGAGTGTTTATAATATCCAACGCCACATATTTCACATTTGTTTACAGAGGAACAAGACTGACAATTTTCTGGGCAACTCTTACATGTCCCATTCTGCATCATGTAGTATCCCACTTCACAATCATAACAATATCCGTACGCTTTACATTTGCAACCTTTTGGACAGATCAATTGCCCTGAAAGCAAATGATATGTCATATCCAATATTTAAGTACCTTTTAAAATGCATAAAAAATACTATTGAAATTGTTAACAACTTTTATAAAAATGGTAAAATGGTTTAGGCTCTTACAGTCCCGTTTTTCACAATATAATAAAAATGGAATCCTTTAAACAGAGTTTAAATAGTAAAATTAGAGGAGGATTAGGAACCGTTTTGATTCGGATAGAATAGATTTTGAATAAACCTTGCAGTTTTAATCTTAACTTTGATATTATTTGTATTAAAACAAACAAAATGACCGTTAATGCTTTTCTTTTCAAAATAAAAAATCATCTTGTACAGCTTTTTAGTTTCTACTATTTTGAAAATCTGATTGAATGGTTTTCCGATTGACTAAAGAGTACCGGTAAATATTGCTTTAATAGTATGAAATGTGACTTACCAAAAATTACTGAATTTAGCAGTAAAGCAGTACATATCAGTTGCAACATCTGCAAAATAAAGCCTTACATAAATGTGAATACTACAATAGAAACAGTTTAACAATTCCGCGCGACTTCAAGAAGCAAAGCTGAAAAGAAGCGGCGTGGATAACAAACTTGCTAGCGATGTGCGAAATGGAGTTTGTGACGCTGGTTATATTCAATATCAATTTTTACTGATGTAAGTGGGGAAAAATACATTGAATTTGCTTGATTATTTAATAAAAAAACAATCTAGTTGTTGTTATCTGAACAGGCCGTAATCTGTTTAGATCCCCTTAACTCTAGGAAGCTTTTTTAACGGTATATTCAAATTCATAAGGACGATTGGTTCTACAGCATGGAACTAGCAAATGAAAGCGGATTTAAAATGACTTTTTTAGCCCGCTTTTATTTCTAAGTTCGATGCTTAAAGATATACTATGCTCATCCTTGAAGAAAAAAAATATTATAATCACATACATTTATTGAACTCTATTAAATTTTTACTGAATATGTC